GTGATAAACCGTTTCCACTGACATCGCATATAAATCTGCGACAAAGTTGCGTCTGCCAGACACACGGACAGCTCCAAATCGTGCCGGATTTGTCACTCCGAATCGCTGAAAATCTCGTGCGTTGTTTATTTGCTCCATGCCTACCCACCCCCACAGCCCAACACACTCGACCTTCATCCCATTTAGTTTAGCTCGTGAGTTTTGAAAATTTTGCACTGGCGAAAGCAAAAAAAAAAAACAAAATAAAAACATTCCGTCTCCGACTGAGTCGTAAATCTTCGAGTGGCTTATCTGCAACAAAGCTATGTGCTTTTTAATTCGCTGCAAAAAAATATGCAAGCAAAAAAATGTTAATGCTTATTTAAAATTAGGCACATGCTTAGCATGCTGAAGCCACGATGAGCGCCTTATGAATGCGAATATTATTTATAGAGGCAGCACAGACTTAAAAGATGAATGTCCAAATTAGTATAAAAAATTGTCCAACGAAGTGGGAGAGATTTGTGATAAATTATAACAGTTTAAGAACATATTTGGATATCTAAACTTGAAATCGATTTTCCTGCATTGTATATATGAAATAAATTAAAATAAAAATTAGTTGGAAATCTCGATTCAACTTCAGGCAAAATAAAAAATTTTTGAATAATTTAATATTAAATTTCATAATAATTGATAATTTACCATTTCGTATGAATTTCAAAAAACAATATAATTTGTTTTTCCGCTTTCGACCTTTATAACCATTTGGTGAAGTAAGACTTTTAACTATTTTGTAATTCATTCATTCATAAAACTAAGAAGCTTAAGGCAATTACAGTCAGACATAGACAACAGAAAAATTGAATCACCCTAATTAAGGTTCTGTCAATATTTCAGCAATATTTTTCTATAAATCGATGCAACAAAATAATATTGATATTTATATAAAATTATAATTAATTTATATTATAAATAGCTCTACTTGTTTTTAATTAAAAATGCAATTAAACTAGATAGGCGAACTTGTATATTTCATACTGGCCACAACAAAAGCCGTCATATGAATGTGTTCAAAAGTGGTTATACAAAAAGTGCTTATCAATATTTAGCGTGGCTTTTAGTAGGTCATTTATCATTAAGCACAGACACCCCAACACAATGCCACCGATGTGAACAAAGCGAAGTGGATTCGCTTATATACATATGTGCAAGTTGATAAACGAGATGCCACATAAAACATTTTGGCTTATTACCAACACGAGGCGGACTCCACATTTATATATACATATATATATATATATATATATATATATATATATATATATATATATACTATATGAATTCCGACAAAAGCCAAAAGGGTGATGAGATGGCAGGGCTACTAAAAATTTCAATTATTTTAGTTTGTAATTAGAAAAGATAATTAGCACAAAGCAAAAATAAATAAAACAAACGCAGCGCAATTTGATAAATTTGATCAGACTTTGACGCAATAAATAATTGTATGCAAATTTATTTAAATGCATATTTACCCGCGTAATTGCTGCAAATTTACGTTTCATTTAGCCGCATCGTCGCGACGATGGAGACAACCAAAGTGGAAAAAGGACACAGGTCACAGGACAGAGCCGAGCAAATGACCAAATGCCGGCAACGAAAAGGCGGCAAACAGATTATAACTCCCAGCTGACATTGTGGGCTTTATTATTTGGCCATTGAAAAGTGTAACGCTGCTTGGCTCGGCGACCCAAGTGGATTTTAATTTTTCAAAGTTAACCCGCAGCATGGGCGAACCTTTTTTTGTCTGGCCAGTGGGGCGTGGTTGCTGGAGGTCTGTGTTTGCTTAAACATCGCCGGGATATGGCAGCACTCCATTTTTATTGTTTACCTTTTGGTCTGTTTGCTGATTGATCCCTCGAGTGGGGGGTCAGCGTTTCGGGCGAGAGTAATTAATTTTGCTTTTTGATTAGTGCATGGCAAAAAGGAGAATCATCAAATTGTCACGTAATTATATTTGTGTTAATGATGTTTCGTGCCAGCCGTAAAAAGTCAATTAATATTTAGGAAAATGAACAATTTAGATTTGACATCAACATCAGCGCCATTGAAAGTAGTCGATGCGTCGGTATTAGGCAAGCGGACTACTTAATTAAAAAATTGCTGGCCGCAATTTTATGCATGCTGTGATTTTTAATTTTCATTGAAATTGCAGTCGACTCCCAAAATCTGTATATTTTATTTTTATTTTTTTCCATCATTTGTATTACTGATTTCTGCTTCTGAGAAGTCATTCAACTCGCGGCGGGCACGCGACTTAAAGCCCCAGTCAGATGCCAACTGATTGCTCCATTAAATTATATAAGAGTTAAGTGGCTATTAGCCGCTATTTAAGCCAGAAACAAGTTTTCTTTTTTTTTTTTGCTGGTAGCAGTTCCAGTTTACCCAGCGTGACGGAGTCTTCGCAACAACAACTGTTGAAATGAACAGCATAAAGGTGTGAAGTAGCTACTGAATATATTCATATTACAAATTGAAGTAAATTGAAAAACGTTTACTTATTATATATATATAGTATACTTATTAAGCATTCGTTTTACATTCACAATATATTTAAAGGTGAATTTAAAGAATTTATGATAATTATTGTTGTTTACGTTTTTACGGCGTTTTACTTTGCAAACTTTCGTTCACTTAAGTCAAGAAGTATTACGCATACGCCACGTTGGAGAAGTTGAGCACACGCTACGCATACGACATATTGCACGGCAATGTTTGACTTAAATGGGAGCAAGCCAACCATCTGTATGTTGTATGTAGTTATACGTACGTGCTGCATGTATTCCATGAGCACGCAGGTGGTGCCATGACATTCAAGTCATGGCTGGAATCGTGCATACTTCGATCTGTGAAGTGTGTACCTGCATCAGTATGAATTACTATTAATGGCGAACAGAATAAATTGAATTTCATTGCCTGACGACGTCAATTAAAAGCATGTAAAACCGAATTGCCAATGACGTTTTTAAAATGCAGTCCAACCATCAACGACGAAATGGCATGGGGGCATCTCTTAATGAGTCGGCAAATGACTGATAAAATGGCGAGGCAATATGAAAAACGTTAAATGGTAGCCTTTGAGTTGTTGCTGCTGTTGCTGTTGTCACTGACATCGAAACATGGCTCACAAAGTTACCCAAACTGTCTGAAAACATTGATAAAATTGGCAATAATGATTCGCTTCGATTCGATACATTCGATTTGCCAGGCTTAATCACCAGCTATTAAGCGAATCATGCCACGAGCTTTTTCCAATGTTTAAATATGCAGCATATAATAATTGTCAAAGCAAAAGTTTTTTAATCAAACTTACTTGCCGAATTTTTAATCAAATTACAACTTTACTCACAAAGAAGCCGGAAATGAAAATTATTATAAATAGTTGAATTGTGCACTCATTTTTTTGTGTGCTGCTTAAACGTAGCTGTGTCTACACTTATACGTTTAAACAAAAATCCCATTAGCAATTATGACTTTCCTTTTGCCGCCAAGTAGTTAAAACTTGAAAGCAATGCGCGCTGCCATTGACTGGGTTGCAGGGCTTTTCTTTAAGACCGACAACAGTTTGTATGGCTGCACTGTTACCATATATACTGGAAGAGCGAGGATGCTTTAGCTTTGCCTCATTTCCAGTTTTTACTTTTGAAGTTTTTAATTCTTTGAATCTTAATGACTTCTCGTAATAAGTTTTCATTTCTCGTAATTTCTTAGGTTAATAGAATCTTTCCAGCTTGCTGCTGCAGCTGCCGTGTGAAGTAACTATAAATGAAATGACAGTGGGCACAGCCCTCGCATTCATGCGAACTGTAATGAGATATTAAAACTACTAGAAATTAATTAGAATATTAAACGAAACCCTTCCTAAAACGGATTAACACACTCGAAGAGTTACAGTCAATTATGCTGACCGAGCTATAATCGAACCCACTGTACATTGAAACTTTGTGTCGGCAGCAAAGAGAGGCAAAGAAAAGTAAGCCATTATTATTAAGTTGACACAAAGTCAGTCAGCAGCAGGAACAACGTAGAACTACCAGGAAAAACGCAGACGATAATAATAATGACGACGAGGACGGCGATAATGTTGGGTCCTTTAGCCTGCCTGACATTCCTATGGCAATGCTATCCAAAGGGAAGCGCTACAAATGCATAAAAGTCTACTTCATAATACGCAGCAGGACCTCAGTTGACATTTATGTGAACCGCGTGCTCTCGCTTTAAGTTACAAAACGACTAAGTAGAAAAAAAATCTAAGCCGACTCGCAAGAAGTCCAACTTTGAGCCGCGTTAAATACTTGGAACGGACAACTAAGCCCACATCATCGTCGTCCTTGGCTGCAGCTAATCATAAATTCAAAAGCGGCAAAAGTGCAACGCAGCTACAATTAACTTATTAAATGGACTTTGGGGCCACAACAAAAGCCAAACGGGCAAAGGAAGCGACAGCGCAAAGGAAGTGCGCGTGCAAATTGTGAAAATGAAAGCGAACGGGAGGCGTCAAATTGACCAACGAAGAGTGAGCTGCTGTTTGCGGAAAGCAGAGTTAGTCTAGTTAGTTTTTCACATGGGTCCCTCTGACATTGTCTCTGCCACTGCGCCACGTGGCGTAATTTATTTAACGGCGGCATCTTCAAAGTGCTTGTGCTTGATGCCTGCTGCTGCTACTGCTGTCTAAGCTCTGGTAAAGCATCCTTGATTGCCAACGACATTTGCTAATTAGCGAAATTGATTTGGAATTTATGATGCGCAAAATAGTAAGGATCGTTGGAGATTGCCTCGTTCTCTAATTGAAACTTAATGTTTTGCATAGTTCTTTCATTAAACGGGCAGCTATTTATACAATTCAAATCAAACGCATTCTTTTGTTGCATATTGCACATACACAGTTATTTCAACACTTCCTATTCTCCTTTTGCAGTTGTTGTGACATTTTGGCAACATAAAACGCACTGGCGCCAAAGATGACGCCATTCTCGCAGCTCGACAAAATGGCGACGACGACGACGGAAATACGCTGGCTCTGCCGATTGCTGCTGCTCGGCGCTTGCATTGGCGCCGCCATAGCTCGAGGTAAATATAACGTTTAACACAACATATCAAAATATATCAAGTCACAATTTTTCACTCAATATATTATTTAAGCGATCTCTACAAATACATCCCAGTTACTTGGGCTCTTTATCAAATATCAAACGACCAATGGCTTGATTTGAAATACAAGAATGGGAAACACTGACCATAATTTGGTTCAGCTTGTAGTACCGATATGATATATATCATTCCAAAAAGACACATTTTCAATGCCAGGTTTAAATGCACTTATTCGAGATATCAAAGTGCAAAAACTAATTATCTGTCGAAGTCACACTGGCAAACAAAGGCACAATGTCCTTTTTGCTGCATTGTGGCCTACAGATAAAAACGCTTGCAAAATATTATTAATTAAAATGTTAAAATTGCGCAAAAAAAATGTTGTTGTTATGTTCACGTTCACTGTATAAAATGTTGGAATTGTTTTTGCTCCAATTATTATCATTTTTATGTGCGCTTATACCCTGAAAGGAATTTTTAGTCTCTGACAGTATTTTTATAATATACTTAGTTCTATGTACGTGCCTTGCTTGAATTTATTTAATCTGCATCATGTCATATATAATATAAACTTTGTATAATATTTTTTGAATTAAAGCTCATTCCACGCATAGTTTGACCTCTTAACAAGTTTTAAAATGTGTCAGCACAGTATCAATTAAATTTTAATTGAAATGTGCAATAAATATACTACGGGATTAAGCAATTTGCACAATGAACAACGCAGCTCACAAAAAAAGGACAATAAACTCAGTTCAACAGAGCTGACTATATCCTGCCATTGAAATATGAGTGACAAAATCACATAGGGAATGTCAGCAAGGCTTACGAGGCCGATTCAATAGTGACAAACTAAATCCTTCGTCTCGACACTCAACCGCATCAACCACAGCAAAACCCCAATCAAAGCTGTCTCAACTGGTGTATATCCTGTATAGACATTGAGCTGAAATTTTTAAGAGTCTGAAAGCAACAACTAAAATATTCTTTGTTGACTTAATTTTGTAGTAAATTTCTCTATATCTAGTACAGTGTGACTTCTATAGAAAATCTAGACACACCCAATTGTATCGATTGGAGGGTATAAAATAGCGATGAAAAATCGAAGAATAAAATAGAAAAACCATATCAGAATTCCCTACATACTAACCTACTCGCAAATACATATCAATAGCACAGAGTACTCGATGCCTAGCATCAAAAAATAGAAACAACTAAGATTTACACAGGCGCTACCGACTGCATAATACTTATTCACTACTGTGTATTATTCACTACTGCTGTGTAATATAAAGTTTTTATGGTTTGATTTGATATAGATGAATAAAATTCAAATTTCAAATCTATGAGAGTCTAGCTGATTGTATCAAAATACAGACGGACATTCCATGAATCCAATATACTCACTTAATTCAATGAACGAGTATGCAAAATGAATTTGCGATGCAACGAATGCGGATCACGTGATTGCCATGGATATGCCATGGAATGGCTGCCGCTGACACTGCCACTGCTGCTGCTATTCCTGGGTGACGGTGGCCAACAGCTCATGGCAATTTCATAGCCATATTGCGACAATTTTTATTAAAATTTAGAATTTTTCAATTTATTTAGCACTTCGCTCGGACGCCGCCTGTTAGTGCCCGCCATGCTTCGACTCGACTAGCGTCAACTCGCCATGACTCTCAAGCTGCTGCTTGCTTTTTGATTTGTTGCAGCTGCGGGAAATTGGTCAGCAAAAAATGGCAATGGACACCGTACGTGATTTGAATTTAGTTTGTCCATCGCAAAAAAGTCAACATTTTGTTGTCGTTGTTGTTATTTAAGCGAAAAGCGATAGCCAGCTTAAATGCTGCCTAACCCACAAGTGGCCAATGGGAATTGAAATTGAATTAGTCATTTCAATAATAATGTTCCCAACTACATTGCTCCTTTGCATGTTGTGGTATTCAGCTGGGCAAACGTCCGCGCTCTGCAAAGGATCCCACGCGCAAACAGACAGCTCCCCGGGGCAGGCACTGAAGCACAAGGAGCAGCAACGACACAGGGTTTGCCTCCTGCTACTGCGCGTCGCAATCAATGAAATGAAATCTGCAGTTGCACATGAAACAAGTGGGTGAAAGGCAAATTAGAAATTGCAAAAATTGCCATCAGGCCTTCATTGTTGCTGTGGCTGTTGCCACTTCCCCTTGCTGGCTGCCACCATAGTGATGGCTGTCAACACGCTGATAAGTGTTGCAGCCCTAAGCAGTTGCCGGGAAATCCTCGTCTGTCTTTCCGTTCAGCCTCCGCTATCTATTGACCCAGGCAAATGCTGATTTTATTATGACAAATGCGCAAAGTCAACGCAAAAGCTGTCGCACTCCCGTTTTTTCTTATCTTTTATGTACGCTCTGCCTTCAAGCAAAGCAGAAGTTCATTTAATAATCCTTAAGTGCTACTTAGCCCACCTCATGTGATCTGTCATTAATCATTGATGATACTCACTTCATGCTGCGATCACAGCTCGCCATAGCCACCGTCTTACACGTAATTTTATTTGCCTCTGCCTTGGGCTGTGATTTATAAAACACAGGCACCACAACTTATGCGGCTGACTGTGAGCGGCTAATTGAAAATGATCGCACACCAAAGGCAAAGATAGGCTTGCAGCAGCAGCTGCAAAGGAACGATGTGATAGCTGCGCTTAACTTAAGTAGACATTTAGTTGGCATTGCAGTAACGCCCATAGAGGGTGCGACGGGCATGAGCATCCCGAAATCCTGCTAACAATCTTGTTGGCACAACTTCAACACCGATGCAACAAGGAAATTGCTAAACAAACCGACTGTAAATCGAGATTGCAACCAGTTACCTCTGCCGCTGCGGCTGCGCAGCTGTCAGCTCTAATCTAAATAAGCGATTTGTCTGCGCATAACTTTTGCCTTAACCGGATCGTTGGCCGGGCTTCAGAGGCAAGCATTGCCACTGAGAGTGTGGCTTGCAACCAGCTGCTAGGTAGGTGTTGCTGCCGCACTGCCTGACTAAATAATAATTTGTATAATTTATTCCACGGAACTCTTGCCAGAAGTTCAAGTATTCAGTTTTCAGGAATTTGCAGCGCGATAGCTTCTTATGGCCAGCTGTCTGGTATTCCGCCTCTCTAGTCTCAGTTCAACTGATACTCTTATAAATAATTAACACGTGCATAACTTCCACTTGGAGCTGCGAGTCTGAATTGCAGTTTGAAGCTTGTTTTTGTTTTTTTTTTTTTTGTAGCACTTTGTTGACGGTTTTGAAGTCAGATAAATTACATGGCATACGGAAGACCTTTGCCCAGTGGCAGCTGCTGAAGATGCATACGACTATTCTAGTCTATTGTATTCTGTCTGCTTTTGTACAAAGCGTACTTAGGTTAAGAGCTTCCGTGTCCTAAGGCCAACCTTTTGTTGTTTTTCACACCTGAAGATTTGCCTACAAAATTATTAATTTATAATTATAAGCACAATGTTATTGACCTTAACAAGTTAAGCCTGCGTTAACAATTCACAGGCCACTGTCTTAGAATTTAATTCTTTAAGTACTGCTTAATAGCTTTCCAAGTTCACTTAAGTATAAAGCAACTTTGAATTTAAAATTAGCCTCCGATTATCTAACAACAGAGACAACAATGCTTCAACGACTTTGCTCTAATACCATAAATTAAATCATTGTCAGCTATTAATTTAATCAATGCCTCAAACGCTGTTAGTCACAGCGTTTATTGTACACATCAGTTTATTGTACTGCTATTATCGGCGTATCTATTACATAGCGAAAAACAATAGACGTATAGGTAACCAACGAAACAGCCCCGAACCCGCTAGACTACGCAGCACTCCTCAGTTAATTTAGCATTCTGCTGCCTGCCAGCGTATTCGAAAGTAACTGGGCGTGGCATGGGAGTTTGTGTAGTTGCCCTACACTCCTACTTTCACACACACACACACACACACACACACATACACTTAAGCACACTAACACACGTGCATGTTCTGCATTGTATGAACTTGTTGCTTTTGCTGTTGTAATTGTTATTATTCTTGTGGTATTGTTGCAGCTTAATTGAAAATATTGTAAGTACAACTTTTCCTAAGTATGGGTGTATCAGCGTGTGTGCTTCCTGTGTCTCTGCGTGTGTGTGTGTGTGTGTTTAGTAATCGCCTGCAGCGTTTCGTTGCGGCGTACTACAAATGAAATTAATTGAATCCCGCGGGCTGTACACAGACTCCCGCTGCCTTCAACACAGTCATTGTTAAGATTGTTACTGAATGGTTAGCATAGGTACTCATACATGCAAATATCTAACTTTTCACGCCTAATAACTTCCGGCTATTGACGTTTCCCTAGGAAATGGCCAACTTTGCTAGAAACAAATGAAATACATTGTTAACATTGAGCATACCCAAGTAGACTGCAGTGTCAAATCAAAAGCTGTTAAAAAACATAATTGTGATAGTTGAGATGTGTTGGTGGCAACTATGATAAGATTGAAATTTAATTAACGAATTTTAGTTTTATAGTTTATTTTCATTTTTACTGACAGTTCAACGAAGTCAAAGCTTTTTACTACTTTAATTTTACTTAACAAATAAATTGTAAGACTAACAAATGGTTTTCCATATAAATTCGATTTAGTATTGAGTAAAAATGCATTTGGAGCTTTGCCAAATATTTGTCATTTCCTTTTGCTAAATAAATAATTTTATATTCAGCATTTAGCTTGTGCATGGGATAAAATTACTTTCAAACAATATTTTCAATCCATTTAAGTATTTAGCAAGTATGTTTTTGATTTTATAATTATTTTCATATATATTAAATAACGCTAGTGTATAACCTTTTGGTCAAAAAATATACAGCTTGATTATCTTTATAAGACATAAACATTTATGTTTATTAATCAATTTGAAGACAGAGCTAAATAGCTTGATTAATATTGCATATGCAGCAGACATATGGCTACACAACATTAGCTTGGCTGGCAAATTGGATTGCAAACGCAATTCATTAGATGGCCAAGAACAACTTGTTTAATACAGTGAACACGCCCAAAGGCCTGACACAAACTGACTGCTAACATGCCATAATCCCATGCCAAGAACATAAAGTAACCAAGCATAAGCAGGTCAGGCACAACTCCAATGATAATAATGCAGCCGAAAGAAATAAAATAAAGTAACTAAGCGCTAGGCAACGCACATATATGAACTCTGCTGGGGCTAAGGCAGTCACGAACCTGGACGCTGGCTACAACCGATTCTTGGACCTTTGCCTTCAGCTTTGCTTGTTTGTTGGACAATCGGTTGTTGTGGGTGAGGCTAAGACGACGATACTCTCAACTTTGTCTGAAAGCCTTTTCGCTTCCGGCTTTCATTATAATTTTGAGCAAGGCGATGTCTCGGAGCGTGCCTGTATCCTTTTATGAGTCATTTGCCATTGCTGCTTTTGTAGTTGTTGTAACTGTATGTCTACAATATGCAATTAAATTAAATATTAAACTTAATTACACGAACGAACTAACGCGTCGTGCAGCACGCAGCAGTTCGAGCAGTTGAGCAGTTGAGCAGTTGAGCAGTTGAGTCTTGGGATCGTTGAGTCATCGAGTCGTCGACGCGCCGACTCCTCTCATCTCAACGGGCCTGTCCAATGTGACAACGCTCAATAATGCAACATGATTGTAAGAAGTAATGAAAGTCAATTGTAACGTAGACGAGACCCGGTCGAGAAAGACAATGTCACTGGCTCTATTGCCAGCCATAGTAGGTCAGGTCGTTCGCATACAAAGATTTTTGCCCTTCAGCTCGCCTCTAACCGTAATGGGAGTGTTGCTTATATTTTGCGCAGCTGCCTCCTGCTGCTTGTTAATTGAATTTAATGTAGTTTAATTGAGACGAACGTGATTCTAACTAAAAGCGCTTTATGTTTAATTTACCAGCAACCAGGCAAGCAGGCACTCATGGAGGCAGGCAGGCAGGCAGGTATTCCGTGCCATCCCAACTACTTAGTTGACACGACAAGCACTGAAGCTCTTAAGTTGTTGAAATTCAAATTAATTGCTGCCAAGTCAAATATAATTTCCATTTAAGTGTGCGACAAAAAGCAGTTCAATATTAAATATCTTTTATGGCAGCTGTCAGCAATTTCTTACCGAGTTTATCTCTGAAAATGAATAATGCATGCCAATGAGGATGCTTGCACACTAAAAAAAGACGACTGTGTCGCACGCTGCGTATGAGTAATGTTGTCGGATTCGGTGCACTGGTCACTGCAATGTTTTCAAGGACACTTCCAATATTAAAAGCTGTTCAAGCGCAGCACAGCGCGAAATTCAAACGCAGCTGCCGCATCGCATACCAAAATCTATAATCGCAAGCTAGCGGAGCAAAGGGCAAAATAGGAGCAGCAAACAGCAAACGGAATCTTCAACAAGGACATCTGTTGGAATTAGCGTACAGTTTGCTTTTTCCATTCCAGGCTTCATACGAAGCAACTGTCACAGCATCAGGCGCACTGTCATCTCTCACAGAATGTCAGAAAAAAGTCAAGCTGCATAATAAATTGAATTTCTTCTGGCTGGTCATTTGGCGCATCTAATGCCGCGCCAAAGACCCACTTTTAAAAGAAAAAGAAAAACAGAATCCGTTTAGGTAATCAAGCCAACTGTTCCCAACTGTCAGATACTCTGCTTAAACAAGCTACACACCTGAGCTGAACTTCTCATGTCGATTTCACGGACATATAAAGAGGAAAATTTTTAAATAATTTACAAAATAGTAAAACGTAGATGCCAATTTATAAGATATAAATATAATACATCTATAATACATATACTTGTGGAAAGTATCCTAAATCAATTTAGTTGATCAGAATATTTATGAATAGGGTATGAAAGGATTTTCCCTTACTTCTTCTGCTCCCTTCATCACGGTCTCTCTATTTTTTTCTCACTATCTCTTGGTTCTCTCTGTCTCTCTTGGTATATCTGCCATAAAACTGTTGACGCCATCCTGGCCGCACACGTACGTTGTTCAACATAAAGTTAGCGACAAAATGCCACCAGACGCAAATGAAATTATACCAAGCCCAGAAGTAGCAGCAGCAACAAGAGGAGTAGTAGTAGTAGTAGTAGTAGTAGCAGATGCCATGGGAGCGACAAACTTGGACAGCAGCTCAAATTCCAAATATCATATTTACAACATGCAACTACTTGTACAAAGCGAAAATAGCTTCCAACTCGCCGGAATGCAATGGAAAAAGTCAAAATGAAAACTGACATCTGAATTCTTTTATTTTGTCTACGTTGGCATTTACACAAAAAGGGAATAGGATGAGCTGGCTTATTGTGTTAGTCTGGCTGCAAGGCAAAGAAAGGTAATCAAATCGCCGCTCAGGCTCGTCACGAAATTTGTCAGCAAAAACGCATTGAATAATAACTAAGTCCAATTATACGCAACCGAATTGTTAAATAAGTTTTGATATCTTTAAATTAGCATAGCAAGCATGCCTTAGCATTGTAGATAATTTCCAGATGAATTCCAATCTTAATGTTTTGACATTTGACAGAAAAGCTTCAACAGTTTTTTGACTGCAATCTTCTTGTTTATTATATCGTAGATAAAACCTTACAATACATATTTAAATATGCAAAGAATAGGACAATATGCCCAATAAGCTAGAAGCTACTCATATGTAGTATAAACTAAACTACACGCAGATGGATAGATGTCGGAAATTAAAATTAATACAGATCACTAAGATATATAGTTATACACTTGCCTTTGAATGTATCACACATGGCAAATTCATGGTTTTTTGTATTACACCCGGGCAGGGTATCTAGTGAGCCAACAGCGAATATTTTAAGCTTTAATAACTACATTTACTATGCCATAATGTGCTTTAATGCTGCAAATTGAAATTTTAACGCAACGCACTTACACACATTTAGGCAGTGCCTTTCTCGCCCCGGAACATGGCGCATCCAAAACTATTTGCGGACATGCTCTGCGGTCAGCCAGTGGCCTGGGACCCGTTACGCCTGTCGCCTGCTGGGCGCCATATAAGTTTGCGGTCGCTCCTTTTATTTCAGTTTGCATAAGTTCTAAAGTAAACATCATATATAATTAAAATCACAAAACGGTCAATTTAGACTCAGCAAGCGCCATGCGCGTACTCTGCGCAAGTAATGGGAGCTGTGTTTTTGGGTCTCGTGCATATTATAATATTTCCATTAAAATTGTATATTTTCTTTCCATGCAAAGTGGCTTATGGGATTTGTTGAGTTACTAGAATTTTAAGTATTTCTGGAAGTAGTCAGCGAGTTTTTCAAATCAGTTATGTTGCCACCAATTAGATTATACACAACAAAACTCTTTAGTATCTTATATAATGCAAAGGCGACTCAAAGCACATATCGAGTAAAGCAAGAAACTATCAGTAAAGTCTTGGATAACTGGGTTAACAGTTTACGCCCCTGCAAAGCTAAGTAATCTTCCATAAATATTACTGATTATATTGATCGAAATTAAATTACTTTTTATATGACAAAGATAATCCGTTCACACGACTTTGGGCTTAAGCATTAAGCAAATCATATCTTTTCTTTTTGCACAGGAGCTACAAAATTTTTAATAAATCCATTTTAAAAGAAAAACCTAAAAAAAGTGGAAATTTTGCTGAGCAGGAGTTGTGAGCTACACACATTTGCCATAATTAAGTTTTATGGGCCTTGGATTTGGCAATTTTGGCAGAGTAAATGGACCTGTATGGTTGAGAGCACGCCGTCAGGCCATAAAGCATTGGCTTTGGCTTACATGGCTCCAATAAAAATCGCATAGTGACTGATGCAAATTTATGCCAATCCCTAGTGAGGTCTAATTTTTAGACGCGCGTTTACAATGTTTTTGCCAGATTTGCATGCCGCAACAACAATTTGGTTTATAAGGCATGTCGTCAAAAAAATTAAAAAAAAAACATGGTTGTGGCCAATGATGTTGTGGGTACGTGAATAAAAAAATACACAATTCATTTTCGAAATGAATTTGTTCCGCTGTAAGGGCCATAAATGCATTTAAATTTATTGGAATGCACGACAGCAGCAGTATAAGAAGAAGCAGATCCCAAATACAGATAGAAAAAAAAAACGCTCACCCATTGAATGACAATAAATTATCAATTTTATTTTGACAACGCGAAAAATCCCGCTTCGAGAGAGAACGTCGAGCGCAAAATGTCAGACGAAATTGAGCAAAATATATTCAGGCGGGGCATTTGTGACAGGAAGTTTCAGTTGAATGGTTTGTTCCAGCGGCCGGTTCTGAATTGCGAGCACATATCCCATATATATCTGCATGTATATAACGTATGTATCCTTTGACAAACGTTTGACTGAAATGCACTCCGCCAGTGCCGCTGGGCGTGACAATATTAATTTATATCTTTAATCGCTATGGCCTCCAACTAAATCCAACTTACATACGACTATATCGCTTGACTTTTATTGCAGACATTACATCTTCGTCAGTCTATGGACGCAGTGCCCCTGATGATGTCGCCTTCTATTGCCCGGAGGAGGGCCTGTTTCCCGATGACTACGACTGTCGCATCTACTACCGCTGTGAGAAGCGTTCCGAGCATTATATCAAACCATACATGTTCGCCTGCAAGGAGGGCACAGTCTTCTCGCGTACCCTCCAATTGTGCTTGCCGCCAATGCTGGCCGGACGTGGAGAGTGCGAGCAGTATATAAACGAAGTCGATGTCAGTCAGGAGACAGACAGCCAGCTGCCATTTGATGGGCTCGTCAATAACCAGAATGGACATAATGTGATGCTTAATAGCGGCGTCACACCCGCTGCCGCCTTGGCGCTGCACACCTATGCTACTGCAAATCAGTTGCCCACAAATTATGGACTGACAGGCTTGAGTGGTGTTTCAGTCATATCCTTTTCGAGCTCATCATCTTTGCGCTCTGGCGGTGAGGAGGGTGTGTCGTGCGAGGATGATGGATTTATGAGTGATCCCATTGACTGCACCGTGTTCTATCGCTGCATCTCCAATGGACGCGGCTATAATAAAATTGGTTTTCGTTGCTCGGACGGCACCGCCTGGGATGAGTCACTACAGTCCTGCAACCATATAATTAAAGTTCGTGCCAATGGCGGCTGTCGCAATCAGGCCGCCCCACTGAGCGATGAGCAGAGCTCGACACAGTCATCCCAATCGAGCTATCAGAATACCACCTCGTCCTCATCTTCCTCCAACAGTCAGCAAAGTTCATCGACAAGCTCCTCAACATCATCCTCGTCTAATAGCTCGACGTCTTCCAACAGTTCGACAAACCAATCTAGCTCCAACCAGGAGTCATCTACATCGAGCAGCAATCAGCAATCATCAAACTCAAACAGCAATCAGTCCTCCAGCAGCACAGAAAGTTCCACCAGCAGCGCTCAGCATACCAGTTCGGAATCTTCGAATCAAAACTCTGGAAGCAATCAATCCTCCAGCAATAATCAAAGCTCTGGTAGCAGTCAGTCTTCTAGCAACAACCAGAATTCCAGCAGCCAAAGTTCCAATAACAATAACCAAAATCAAAGCGCCAGCAGTAACCAATCTTCCAGCAACAATCAGAACAACCAGAGCTCATCAAACAATCAATCTTCCAGTGGCTCCAACAACCAAACTAATCAGAATGTCAACAAACCTGCATCAGGTGAATGCGTGGACGAGAACACGTACATACCAGATCAAAAGGATTGCGCCAAGTTCTACAGGTGTCGCTTAGATGGCGATGGTAATTTAGAGATGGTGCCATTTACCTGTGGTCCTGGCACTGTTTGGGGTCAAGAGGAGAAAGTTTGCATTTTACCTAGTGAAGATCAAAAGAAGCAATGCAATATACAATCTAGCTCTTCGAGCAGTGGAAATAATCAAAGTGGCAACAGCACTTCCAGTGGCAGCAATCAATCTTCCACTTCAAGCAATAATAATAACAACAACCAATCTAACAATGAGCAAGGATCATCAACATCAAATAGCAGTCAGCAAAGTTCGTCAGCTAGCAATCAAGGCTCATCCTCATCATCAACCTCTGGCAATCAGAGTAGCAACCAAGGCTCGTCATCTTCATCTTCTTCAAACTCCAGCAATCAATCTGGTCAAAACTCCACAAGTTCTTCAAGCTCCCAAGCGACAACAACAAAACCCCCAACTCCTGACGGCGAGTGTGAGCATACGGAAACGTATTTGCCTGATAAAAAGGACTGTGCGCGCTTCTACCGTTGCGTGGATAATGGAAATGGCGGATTTGATAAGGTTGCGTTTGATTGTGCACCGGGTACTGTTTGGGATCCCGACTCAAAGGGCTGCAACCATCCAACAGATGTCCAAAAGGAACAATGCAAGGCTATGGCCAGTGGAACAGGCAGTTCATCAAACCAAAGCTCTTCCTCTAATCAAGAATCATCCTCTAATCAAAGTTCATCCTCGAATCAAGGATCGTCATCCAATCAAGGATCATCTTCCAATCAAGGAGCATCTTCAAATCAAGGTTCAGCGTCCAATCAAGGATCTTCCTCTAACCAGGGATCGTCTTCTAATCAAGGATCATCTTCCAATCAAGGATCGTCTTCCAATCAAGGATCGTCTTCCAATCAAGGATCATCATCCAGCCAGGGATCATCTTCTAATCAAAGTTCTTCGTCGAGCCAAGGATCGTCATCTAACCAAGGCTCGTCCTCCAGTCAAAGTTCGTCATCCAATCAGGGATCATCTTCTAATCAAGGATCATCTTCAAATCAAGGATCATCATCTAACCAGGGATCGTCTTCCAATCAAGGATCGTCTTCCAATCAAGGTTCATCGTCCAATCAAGGATCTTCCTCTAACCAGGGATCGTCTTCTAATCAAGGATCATCTTCCAATCAAGGATCGTCTTCCAATCAAGGATCATCATCCAGCCAGGGATCATCTTCTAATCAAAGTTCTTCGTCGAGCCAAGGATCGTCATCTAACCAAGGCTCGTCCTCCAGTCAAAGTTCGTCATCCAATCAGGGATCATCTTCTAATCAAGGATCATCTTCAAATCAAGGATCATCATCTAACCAGGGATCGTCTTCCAATCAAGGATCGTCTTCCAATCAAGGTTCATCGTCCAATCATGGATCCTCATCCAGTCAAGGTTCATCGTCCAATCAAGGTTCATCGTCCAATCAAGGATCTTCCTCTAACCAGGGATCGTCTTCAAATCAAGGATCATCATCTAACCAGGGATCGTCTTCCAATCAAGGATCGTCTTCCAATCAAGGTTCATCGTCCAATCAAGGATCATCGTCCAATCAAGGTTCATCGTCCAATCAAGGTTCATCGTCCAATCAAGGATCTTCCTCTAACCAGGGATCGTCTTCAAATCAAGGATCATCATCTAACCAGGGATCGTCTTCCAATCAAGGATCGTCTTCCAATCAAGGTTCATCGTCCAATCAAGGATCCTCATCCAGTCAAGGTTCATCTTCCAATCAAGGTTCATCGTCCAATCAAGGATCTTCCTCTAACCAGGGATCGTCTTCAAATCAAGGATCATCATCCAGTCAGGGATCATCTTCTAATCAAGGCTCATCTTCCAATCAAGGTTCATCGTCCAATCAAGGATCATCTTCAAATCAAGGATCATCCTCTAACCAGGAACCAGCCACAACAACAACTCAGAAGCCATTTAAACCGGCAGAGAAATGTGAGAGTGAAGAAACATTCCTAGCTGACAATGAAAATTGTTCGAAATTCTATCGTTGCGTTGACAACGGAAAGGGTGGCTTTATGAAAGTATCATTCACCTGCCCACCAAATACCATTTGGCATCCCGAAGCCAACAGCTGTAACCATCCATCGCAGATTGACATGCAGAGTCTGAAGTGCAAGCGAGTCAACAATAACCAATCTTCCACTTCATCCACCACAGAACAAACGACATCTTCAAGCTCTCAATCTAGCAACAATATAAGCTCTACAACATCCAGCTCAAGTAGCTCTAGTTCCACACCGTCACCAAAGCCTTCTGGCAATTGTAATGTTAATGGTCAGTTCCTAGGAGATGATAAAGACTGTGCCAAGTTCTATCGCTGTGTGGATAATGATAGAGGTGGATTCTATACGGTAGCCTTTTCTTGTCCCCCCGGAACTGTATGGGATGCTCAGATTGAGGCTTGTAATCATGCCTGGGCCGTTAAAGATAAAAGCTGTGGCAACAGCGTCACCACACAACGGCCAGTTTCAACCGCCACTACCCCTAGTCAAGGTTCATCGCAATCCTCTGGCACAACAACATCAGCCATAATACCGACAACGCAAAGACCAACCCAAAACCCGAGCACAACAACAGGAAAACCCTCAACGCAAAAGCCAACTACCCAAAAGCCTGTTACGCAAAAGCCAACGAGCTCAACTGCAAATGTGAAGTGTACATCTGAGGGCTTCATTGGCGATCCAGACAGCTGTTCTAAATTCTATCGCTGCATTAGCAATGGCAAGGGAGGCTTTGACCAGGTGGCTTTCCATTGTGCCGCTGGCACAGTTTGGGACCAGGACCTACAAACCTGCAATCACGACTTGAATATGTGCAACCCAATACCTGAAGATGGCCCAGTCAATGCTACAACAGAGTCTGATAAGGGCCCATGTGACAATACCACAGAGCAGCCTACTTCTACAGCTGTGCCAGTGACAACGAACTCACCTATCACCTCGGAGCCAAATACGACAAATGGTCCAACTGAACCAGCCACGGAATCAACAACAGATAGGCAGACCACAACCAGTCAACCCACAACTAACCAACCCATAACTAACCAGCCTACTACAAGTGTTCCATTTGAGCCGACAACTACTTATCAACCTCCAACGACGCTATGGACAACGACAAGCAAACCAACAACAACTGAAAGTCAACCCACATCATGGACAACGTCCACTCAATCTTCTTCAGGTGAAACAAATCCTCCAACCACAACGATAATGCCCGAAACTACAACCAAGGTGCCCAATTTACCACCTGGCACCGAGTGCAAGGGCGAAGGATTTATGCCTGATCCCAACAATTGCCGAAAATTCTACAGATGTCAAAAAACAGGTGACTCATACTCGAAGCATGAGTTCATGTGCGCAAAGAATACAGCTTGGAATGCAGACATACAAACGTGTGATCATGCGCAGAATGTGCCGGGATGTTCAGGTCAAACGGAAGCTCCAAACGAGACAACAAATCCAACCGTAACTACAACCGAAATTACTTCAACAGAGCCAACAACAGTACCACCAACGAAGCCAACAACAGAACCACCAACGAAGCCAACAACAGAACCACCAACGAAGCCAACAACAGAACCACCAACGAAACCAACAACAGAGCCAACAACAGAACCAACAACAGAGCCTCCAACGAAACCCACAACAGAACCACCAACGAAGCCAACAACAGAACCACCAACAAAGCCAACAACAGAGCCACCAACTAAGACAACAGAACCACCAACAAAACCGACAGAGCCACCAACCAAACCCACAGACTACACGGAGAAACCAACGGATACTCCAACAAAACCCACGGACTATCCAATCAGCAAGCCAACCACAGAAATGTACCCAGGAACAACTGGATTTACAACATCAATGCCAGGCTATTCTCCAACTACCACTGAAGAAAATACTGGTACTACTATGGAGCCGTCAGTCAACTTTAAATGTCCAGGTGAAGGTTTCCACGCTGATCCTGAGGATTGCAGCATTTACTATCGCTGCACCAAGAACAAGGATAATTATCAAGTATATAAGTTCCGTTGTCCAAAAGGCACAGTTTGGGACACGTCGCTGGATACATGCAACTATGCCGATCAGGTATCAGGTAACTGCTCCTCTGGCAGCATGACTTCAACAACAAAACCGAGTGGAACAACAACACCATGGACAGATATGCCTACAAGCACAATTATACCGGTGACAACACTTAAGCCAGAAACAACAACCAACACAGAAACTACTACAGGTGGACCAGTTGACACGACAACTACAAATAAACCAGTGGAGGTAACTACAAATAAGCCAGTGGATACAACTACATATAAACCAATCGAGACAACTACCGAGCAGCAACAGAAACCAAATCCTGAGCCGTCTAGCAACTCAAGTGCTCCCTGTCCACCAACTACTGAGGATCAAAGCTTGTTTGTCTGCCCGTCTGGATTCCGTCGGCATTCTAAACAATGCGGAGTCTTCTACCAATGCAATGAAAACTCAGATTCGAATCTGAATATTGTATTATTCCAATGTCCCAATGGTACCGTCTATCAGGAATCATCATGTCGTTGTGCCAAGCCGGGACCCAATGACACCTGCTACAACAAGGGATCATCACGCACACAGCTGTTTGAGGAGGAAGCGCAACCACTTAACTTGGCAAGTATCTGATACTTATAACAATTTGCGCATTTTTACTAACCTAAAAGGTCGTCTTTGTTTAGGTGCCAATTCATTCGACAGAGCCTCTTTGTCCAGAAGAGGGACACTTTGCACTGAATCAGGATGAATGTAGCCAAGTATTCGTGAAATGTGGCTACTCGCAGCAAACAGGCCACATCGAGGGACAAATATATCGCTGCCCGCAAGGCTTCGCCTATTGGAATGTCAGCCGTCGTTGCGAGCCAGCTAGAAAGCTTAGCAGCTGCATTCCATCTACATACAATGTGGGCGATAGTGTGCCTCTGGAGTGGGTCAACATCGGACACAGACGTCGCAGTCTGCGCATCTAAAACATATACATACATTTTAATAAATCGATAGCGTTAATATAGAAATTGTAAAAGGCAATCGCAATTGTTTGCTGCGCACGCTTCCAGATTCGAGCAGCTTGCGCAGCAAATGACGAGCCAAAAGACTAGCTTAGGTTTTAGTGCAATTACAATAAGTTTCACAAGGGTTAACAATAACAATTTCTGGTGATGGTGCGATTAAATAAGTTTTTTTCGATTTCCTGTAACAGTTGCATAGGCACAGCCTTTAACTATATGCACATGTTGTTGCAATTCACGCAGTAATTGTATTTATATTAAATGTAACGTTCTGAACGCCATATTTAGCTTAGACTCTATGCTTAAAGTTTATAATAAATTAAAACATATACAAAAAGATTTTACACAAGCTGAGGCTTAAGGTGACTACTGTTTTTGTTCTCTTCTTTTAACTATGATCCAGTCATTTCTTCTTCTTTGCGACGGGTGGCGCTGCCGGATTCTCACCCTTATAGAAGTCCTTTAGCAACGACATGGCTTCATCAGCTCGCACACCGCCCGTTATGTTGATCTGTTGTCCTACCACGGCGGCAACGTCTATAACTGTCTTGCCACCGAATCGATCATTCTCGCAGCCATAGATGATCTCCTTGACGGCAAGCGTATGCAATGCGGCAGAGCACATAATGCAGGGCTCCACAGTGACCACAACGCTAATCTCACTGAACACCTGGCGTGCCGGCAAACGTTTCTCCCGACAGTAAGCCAAAGTGGCATCGATGCATATGAACTCCGCATGACGTGTTGCATTCCGATGTACATTCACCTCGTTCCCGCCACGTGCGATTACCTTGTCATTGTGCACAAACACACATCCAACGGGCACCTCGCCTGCGTCACGTGCTCGCCTCGCTTCTACAAGAGCATCCTCCATAAAAGTGGCCATTTCTCATGGAAATATCTCGATTTATTAGCGGACAAACAAAAACAGAATAGACTACGACGCCACGACGCAGGCAAGCAGAAAAATAAGCAAAAATCAGCTGTTCACACCGTATGATTGGCAACTCTATAGCACCAGTGTGACAGCACTGGTCATAATTCAAATATATATCTTTATGCCATTACTTGCATTTATATTTATTTAGCTAAATTTTTTATACCCTTACAAATCATTGCATAAAAAATTGTTAATATATTTTTAACAAGGCACAAGAATATCAGTAAAAATCAACTGCTCAGTCACTGTGTGGTTGTCTAGTCAACTAGTGAGAATAGGGTAACACTGACCACAATTCAAAATCTCTTTAATTACATTTTCAAGCATACAAAGGCATTAAAACATTCGAGGAAATTCACATTACTTATAATAGCCTCAAGGCATATTTCGCATATACTTGATAAGATTTTCTTTTTCCAGCATAGCCGTCGCCTCTTCTGACCACTTAGTATTGTTGGGCACCCGCGGACTTGGGTGTTTCAATCGAATGACTTTTGCGGTTGATTTACAATAGGATGATCTCCTTTTTAGCTCCATCTCAACCCATGCTCCCACTGCCACAACATATTGTGGCCGCAACAGCTCAAGCTGTTTCTCCAATGCATCCAAGCACTTATCGCGTATCAGTGTTTTGTAAGTGCCTTTCAGGTGGTCAGGTGTGATATTGTTACCATTTTTATCAAAAAACGCCAAAGGACACAAGTTGTGAACAAAGCATTGTTGAAAAAATATATCCAAACTTCCAGCCAAACTCTCAATTAGACTCCACAAACGCAACCCACTCTGCTCCTCACTTCCGAAATTTAAGCCAGTAACAGGTCGTTTAGAGTGCAACTTAGGTGGTTGGTGCACTTCGCCAGAGATTTGCATCTTATCACGCACGGTGCCCACGTTCCCAAAAGGTATCTATATATATATATATATATATATATATATATATATATATATATATATATATATAAATATATATATATATATATAAATATATATTTATTTATTCATAAATATATTTACATATACACTTACGCCTGTCTGACACATGCCCTTTGGCCCAGGATTTATGCCAATGAATATGACTTTTTTGGTTCCATTCAAGTACTTTTTTAAAAATGCGCAGTGCAACGATGACGCATACTCTACAGCATTGTAAGCACATGCAATTTCCGCTGGTAACTCAATCGTTGATAATTCTTCATTTAATTTGCATTCAAATGTATAAAATCGTTGGTCAATTGACTGTTGTGGATCCAAAGCTGTTGTTTTCGTTTTCTTTATATCTAAAGCTTCCGCTTGCTTATCAAGTTTGCGTCTCAACATGACGAGACGATATGTAATTTCACTCTTTCATGGATAGATGTTCACACCGAACTGTATTCGGTTAACAACTTGTAATAAATATTGCAGCATTTAATTCGTTTAATACACATTTTAATGCTGATAGTTTGAAGAGCTGCCACCTGGTTGACTTTTAACAGCGCGCTGTTAAGAAATTAGCGGCATAAATACAAGTTTCATTAGTAAAATAAGCGATGTAATTTATTAAATATGTATAATAATATTGAAACTAAGATTGATTATGTGTGAAGCTCTTCAGCTTTGCTTCATTGTCCTTCACAAATTTTGTCTTAAAATCCTTAATATTCTTTGATATGTTGGTCTTAACAACAGTTCCAAAAATGTTTAAAAATTGCTCCACCTGGAAGAAAATCAATGTTTTTTAATACCAAACATTGTTTGTTGCCTCGATGTCTGCACACTTACGGTTAAGTCCTTTTCTGCGCAACCCATTTTAACAAATTCACATTGTGGCGCGTGTTTCAGATGCTCCTTCCATGGCTCGTCCTCGGCCTCCCAACCATCTAGGGTTTTGGCGCACACGAAGCAAGTAGCTGTATCATTTTCACGCGTGGTGCCAGTCCAATAAAACCCCGCTTCTGCCATCTGCACGATGAAATACACATTTAGAAATATATTGCAACCAGTTTTACAATTCGCTTGCCTTGCTGATGCTGCATGTTGACTTTGATGAAAAGGGCCAATCCTTAAAACTCTCTACTCTATGCTTTTCAAGTAAATTAAGCTCTCGGAATCTTTCGAGCTTGGCATCATCCATTGTACTTGTTAAGTCCATTATTTAGTTTGCCTATTGAAATAAATAATTTCAAATAAATTGTGCACACAAAAACAACAAAGCAAATTGAACCAAGCGTAGTGCGTCGTTCTTGCTCTATGTCAACTCTATAATTTTCTGTTAGTATAACATATTTGGAAGTTCCAAAATGAATCTTGGTTAACAGTACCAGCTGAGTGTAAGCTTGAAATTAAATATCGAATTGTTATTAACGGTCGCGCTGTTTAAAAATAAATATTTAATGAAATATAGTTATATTTCTTACAATATAAATTGATATATCGAGGTCTACAAAATGTTGATTAATTGTTACTGTCAATGCTTTTTAAGACAATTATTTACTTAAGTTGTATGTAAATGTACATATCACGTATGGTACAGCTGAGTTTATTGTACTGAACTGAACTACAAAGTTCAGCTAACCGTTCAAAAAAAGGAACCAGAGCTGGCAATTGTCAGCACTAAAATTATTGTAACATATTTATCGTTTTGCCGCCACAAAAAATAAGTTGAAATCTCGAATAATAAATAAATATTATTTACAATGCCCGCAGATCAAATTCAATACTCTGAAAAGTATTTTGATGACAAATTTGAGTACAGGTAAATATATCATAGACTTAAAATAAAAACATTTCTTTAACTTTCGATATATAACTTGCAGGCACGTAATTCTGCCGCCTGACTTGGCCAAGCATGTTCCCAAATCGCATTTAATGACGGAAACGGAATGGCGCAATCTAGGTGTTCAACAAAGTCCTGGCTGGGTGCACTACATGATGCATGCGCCAGAGCCGCATGTAATCCTATTTCGCCGCAAACACGTCGAGGAAGAGGCATCCACATCGCAACCGACAGCGGCCAACAATGTCAATGTTTGCGCATAATTGGACGAACTAATGGAAGACGCAGACGAGGCAGAGGCTAGTAGATTTGGCATCGAGAATTGTTAATGTTAAACAGTATTCAATAAGATTGGGAGTTTATCATCAGTAACCTTGATGTAAAATATGTTTACAATAGGATAAGGACACACACATTTTGATACATTGTTACAATTATAGCCCTAAGTTATTTGTGGCCATTCAGTCACACATATTTAAAAAGTCTTTCAACGAATTTTTCCTTAACTTTATTTACCTAAAATATAAAACGTACGCCATGTGTACAAATTACAAGTAGTAAGACTAACATTCGATAAAAAAACTTTTTGCTAATGATAGCAACGCCAGATCGCAGGTGTTATGTGGTCCGCCCAATGCTCGTAGCGCAGCTCACAATTCCGTCTCGCGTAATACTCCATGGAATATAATGAGATCATGACGCCATTGCCGAAAACAAGTGTAAACCATACACAAATGTTGCCAAGTGTCTTAGGCGCGCTGCGCATAAGAAATACCAACGCTACGCCGATAACTCCAAAAAACATAAACATGACAGGGAAAAATAGTTGGAGCCCGAATCCTAAGACCTGTTCGTGTACTAGCGCCGATATCATAAACACCAGCAATGAGGCAACCACTTTGGAGCCCTTGAAAACGTAGGTATATAAGTCCCTGTAGACGTACTCGTACAGCCAATCATGCACTACCACGTTCCAGTTACGGTAGTATCCATCATAGGTGTGCGACGTCCACCAATCCTTGTAGAACATGCGATCCCCGAAGCGCAGTAACTCCGCCGTGAAGTTCAGCCATGAATGAAGAATCATATAGAAACCACACAAAAGTATTACAGCACTCGGCAGCATCATGCCAAAGATCTTAACAATTAACTGAGAAGGGCCCAGCGCTTCCTTGCCAAACTGACCAAAATACTCGCGGATGTGGCGCTCGTGTATAAAGGCATAGAAGAAGGCAACAGCCACGATCTCCATGAGTCGGGAAAGCGCGAACTTCCAGCGTATTTGTTTCGTACGCGGATAGTTATCTCTGTAGATTAGGGTGGGCGCAAACAGAAAATATACATAACAATGCAGGGGCGGCAAATAGGGACGAGCATCTTTCAACTCTACGTCGGTCTTCTGCTTGCCGAGCAGCACCCTTGCCGCGTTATATCTCACATATGCGTGCATTTTCATCAGCAACCGGGTACTCTCCAGAAGCAACACACAGGCACTGACAAAGGGCAACTGGAACTTAAGGCACAGCGACGTGGAGACATAGCCAAACACCAACTGGGCGCTAATGTACATAATCAGGCAGCTGTTCGACCAAAAATGTTGCAGGGATTCTAGTGAATTGTAGAAACTCCATTAGAATTTGGCATAATTGAAAATATTTTTAAACTCACTGTGCGACTGCAATTTAGAGCGCACCAGCGCCCATCCTTGGAATGCATAGTAGAGCGCCAGGACGAAGACATGCTCGAGTAGCCAGACCCCAAAGACCCAGTGTATGCGCTTGAGGCCACTACGGAACGTGCCGAGACCCAAATTGATACGGCCCTCGACAAAGTAGTCATAGAAAATGACGTTTAGTAAAAACATGACCAGAATAATTGAGAATATGTGATAGATGGTGCGCATGTGCTCCACCTGCAGCAGCACCGTCAGGTACGATTCGCGCGCCACGAATACCTTATCGGGCAACTGACGTCGCGTTCTTTGTTGTGGTTGATCTTGTCGCCACTGCTGCGGCTGCTGCTGCTGTTTTGGCGTTGCTTCATTTTGGGCATACGCCCGCCCATTTGGGCAGTCGCTGACGTCAGGTTTCGTTGCTGGCGAAAGTGTTTGCTGCTGACGATTGTGCCAAGTGGCGCTTGCGTTGGTGGCCCTGCTGACGGAGCTGTCAAATTGGCGAAACTCGTGCGCGCGCAACTCCTGTTGTCGTATATCCTGCATTACGTCCTCTATCATGCAGGACAGTCGCTGCTCGAAGTCGCACATTATTTTGGCCTGAAACTTTTGCAGTTTGTCGCGCAAAAAGTGCATCTGGTCGACAGCACCTTCGATGCGTGGTTTTCCATCTGTCCTTGACTCCTCGGCCATGACAAACTGAATTTTGATTATTTCTGACACCGTGCACTGTGTTTATCACTATTTCCCGAAGAGCTTTTTTATAGCAAACCGTCTGCTTCAGAAGCAATTTGAACAATGTGCCGGGAGTTCCGAGGCTCAGTTGCTTTTGGCTGCTGTTGTCAAACGCATGAAATGATAACGGCGCATTTGCCCAATAGTCAGAGGCGTAGGTACTGAGGGTACTTATGCACTGAGAAATGACGCGTCGCCGCTGTCGCCTAGCATCACGAGTCTGACGCGTTCTCTTCTCTCTCTCTCTCTCGCTCTCCCTCGTTCTATCTAGCGCTCTGTACAAAGTGCATTATTGTTGCTGTTCTTATTGCTGAAATAGTTTTGCTAAGTACATTACAATTGAGACATAAATTTGATTGCTCGCGCCTTAATCGACCCGATTAGCTGTCAACGGCACTTGAAGCTTAATCAATCGGCCGCCCGTCCGTCTTACGAGAAACACATGTGGGTCTATGATTCTGATAACGCCATTGTTCATTGGCCCGGGTGCACTTGCACTCGCCATCGCGCCTCCATAAAGACAAATATATGTAAACTTACAAACAGGCATACATATGAATGTGCACATATAAATACGTACATATGTTTGTGTGCATGTCCATACTCGGCACTCAATATGACGCGGTGCGATGAGATTTCCACAGCGGATTGCAAAATGAATTAGGTATTGCAAATGATTAAGAGCATACGTACATAAGTGCGCTTACATACACATACATATAATAATTTAATAATAATATTGTACTTGAAAAAATTGTATAAGTCTAATTGACAACATATACACTCTAATTAGAAGGTTGTTGTCTAAATTAATGAATGGGACAAATTCCCTAAGGGGATATTTTGAGGGATTTTTTATTTTTAAATTAGAAGTCCAGTTGCACTAACGACTAGTTAAATCTTGAAGTTCGATAAGCGAATTTATATTAATGATATATATACTAAATATTAACTGAGTTCTATATACTAAAAAATATAATATAATAGAAATACAATGACTGGCAACAGAAGGACCAGAAATGCTTTCGCGTGCACTGCTATTTTAAATTAAAATATTTGAAATTCTTGATAAACATGAAGTTTGTTGACTAAATCATATATAAACAACATTTTGTTAATTCGCTCTATACAGAATGTTAAAAGCGCTGGCTTTAATGAAAGCTATCGACTGTGTGTGTGTGCATGTGTGTGTATTGCAAATTATAAAGAGTATACGTACATACGTGCACTTACATACACATGCATATAATAATTTAATAATAATATTGTACTTGCAAATACTGTATGAGTCTAATTGGTAAATGTACAGTCTAATTAGAAGATTGTAGTCTAAATTAGTGAATGGGACAAATTTCCTAAGGGAATATTTTGAGGGATTTTTTATTTTTAAATAAAAGTCCAGTTGGTCTAACGTAGAGTTAAATCTTGAAGTCCGATAAGCGAATTATTATGTATATATATAAATATATTAATGATATATATACTCAATGTTAACTGAGTGATATATACTAAAAAATATAATATAATAGAAATACAATCACAAGGACCAGAAATGTTTTCGTGTACAGTGCTATTTTAAATTAAAATATTTGAAATTCTTGATAAACATGAAGTTTGTTGGCTAAATCATATACAAACAACATTTTGCTATTTCGCTCTAAATAAAATGAAAATGGCTCTAGTGAAAGCTATCGACCTGTGTACTGTGTATGTGTGTGGGAGTGCGCGCGTGGTTGTGTATGTGTGTATGCGCTTGGCATATTTAATTGCAAATATTTATGTGCGAGTATAAAAAAACAACAAATACATGCGCATAAGCCTAATGTTTTGATAACGAAAAATGAGCCGAAATTAAAGCTCACAGCAATGCGTTGTGCCGCCTGCCGCACATGATGCAGGATGTTAACGTGTATATGTGTGTGTGCGATTGTGTGCAAAATAATATTAATGCTGTGCAGACGCAATAACCAAAAATATTTATTATTTATGCGGAATAAACAGCAGCACACACAAAATATGAAATTAATGCAAAAATGACAAAAGCAGAGCGCAAAAGGCAAAAGAAAAGAGCGCAGAGCGTACGAGTAAAACATATATATTCTATATACGAATATGGGAGTCAGCCAGCCGACAAGCCAGCCTGCCTTCTGCCTTCTGCCTGCCCAGTGAAACATAAAAGTCAAACTCAGGCCCAGCAAATATTCATAAACAGTAACAAAAACGGGCTAACATTATGCAGGGAGATCTGCCAGATAGCGCCACATATAAAAAGACATTTTTATTGCACAGAAAAAAAGAACAGCATGCTGGAAGAGATAGTAAAAGAAAGGCAAAAAAAAAATAGAAACAAAAATAATATGCGACCGTATAAAAATCTATATAATTCATAAACCCGCACAAACTCAGAAGCTGAGACAGAACGAAACACGTACACCGCGCTTGGCGGCCATATTGGGTCATAAAAAGCACACACACACACATACACAGAGAACTGTATAAAAGCCTGGCCACAGTGAAACAGCAACAGCAACAACAACACAAAAGTGGCAGCCGCAGCAAAAAAATTTTATGGCGCAAAACTTTGTGAAGCAGAAGCATATAAAAAATGTTGCATATTTTCGGGCGCAACGTTGAAAATTGTCCTACTACTCGCTCTCACACACACTCTGACTCTGTGGGTGTGTGTGTGCTTGCCATTTCCGCTGTGTTTCTGTTGTTGTTTTATAGGCACACAGACTTCTGTACTGTGCGAATAGACCGTAAGAAAAAATGGCGCAGTTTTGCAATTTGCTAAAAAGGCATATAAAAAGCAGCCAAATGTGCAGCGCAAATATTACACGACTCGGCTGTACAGTTACCAAACGCTGACCTTATGTATCATATATATATTATATTTCATATATATTTTTGTCATCGCCTGCCACTGGTTTAAGCTTAAAAGTGCTGAATGGTGAACAAATAAATAATAGAGAATATGTATACTAATTAATTAATTAAAATTAAAGAAATGAAGCTGAAACAACCATTGTTATTTGTCATATATTTTTGTAGACATATTTTACATAAATGTCATTTTTAAGTATAGCTAACGAAAGCAGAACTTACAAAATAAATATGCTGTGAGCAGATACAGCACAACTTTTCTGCTATGCTTGGAAAGATTTTCGAATCCAATTAGTATTTAATAATAATAATATTTGTTCTGGGGACTAACTGGCTGAAGGACAATAAATAATGAAATGGCTGTGACTTCAAATTAACTCAAATAATTAAATGAATTATAGTAATATATTTAAATATATATAATTTATTATATTATTATAATTAATATTATTAATATTTTATAATAATAATAATATTAAATATTTCTTATATTTTTTCAATTCATTTCAATTTTTTCAAGATCTGACGAGGTTTCATTCCATATCGGCAACATTATTACCGTCTGGAGACGGTCTTGGTCCACGTTTAAAAAATAAAATTGGTTTGCTGTGCTTGCCAAGCGAACTCTTCCCTTGAGCTCGCCCTTGTCGCTAGCAACGGCTCACAGTGCTCATAAAAATATGCTTGGAATTGGTTTTGCGCGCGAGGAAAGCAAAAGAAAAGGTAGAAAAAAGAATTTAACATATTTTTGGAGTAAGGCGAATATGGAATACCCCGCACAGTGCTCAAAGCAATGCAAGCTGCTGATGGTAAGATACCCTGTCTGTTTTCATCTTACAGGGCATGTCGTATAATGTAGAATACGAACAACTTCTAGCTACATTTAATGTCGCCCAGAACGACAAATGTCGCGGCAAGCGCTGGCCATGTGCTCCAAGGGCCACGCTCCAGCGACTAAGAGCAATAGAAGCAGCCGGGCCAGTTGGCAATGGAGCGGGTCAGCAGTTGGTGGAGAGTGGAGACGAATCGCTTTTGATTGTTTTGCAAACAAAGCGAAAGCGAAACAAGCAACCAAGTTACCAACCATCCACCCACCCACACATAAACACACAAGCACACACATAGAGACCATTACAATACTTTTTGCTTTCTTTTTTCCCCCAAAATGAAAAAAAGGAAAAAACGTGGCAACTTTTTTCGAGGGTGGATTTTCATTTTGTATGCTTCATGATTTCGAACTTTATTCGCCAGTCGCCCCTTCGTGAACCATGCACGTCTGTGTCTGTATATATGTATATATATCTGTATGAGTGTGTGTTTTTGTTTGTGTGTGCATTTTTTTTACCATTTCATTATTTGCAAATTTATGCGGGGTGGTATTTTTGTGACTCAGTCGCAGTTGTTGTCATTCTTTTTTTTCCTCTTCTTTTTTTCTGCTGCTGCTACTCCACTTCCATTCCGCTCATCGATTTTTGGTTCTCATGTCGAGCGATTTTTTTATGTAGATTGGCCATTATGTGGAATTAGTTTTTCTGCCAGTTTTTCTCTTTTTTCACTCGTTGATCGCTGTGTGTGTGGCACATAGCAATGGCGTGCGCCATAAAATGTTATTGGCTGCTGTTAGTAAATGTGAATGTGTGGAATGGTTGAGATGGCTTTTTTGATGAGGACCCGAAGTATATGTACTATATAGAAAGTAAAGTAAAGTAGTAGTAATGGATGGGAAATGGGAAAAAACATATAGTCAAATCTCTTCAATATATGATTTCGATCAATTATAAACATTGAACGAAAAGAGAAGCAAATATTAAAAAACAATTTTAGTTATTTAAAAAATATATATATTTTGAATGTTTAAATCAAAATTTATGTATATAGTTATATATACTAAAAAAAGAATATGGTTGATTAAGATATCAAACATTATAAGCTATTTCAATCATTTATGTTTAAGATAAAACGTTTTCTATATTAATAAGTATATATACATAAATTTACATTGAAATATTCAAAATATTCCAGCGATACGCTTAGTCCCTGACAAGAACATCTTGTAATATGGAATCGACCACAATCGCAAATTCTGAATGTTGACTTTTTTGTATTTACCCAAAAATTTCCGTAGAATAGAAAATCACAAAAAGTACAATGACCGCAATGGTAAATAAATGCCAATGTTTTTATCAGTTAGTCAAACAAAACGCATCCACAATTCAAATATTTTTTTACAAATCACAAATTGTTTAAACAGCATGCTCATAGGCAAATTGAGACTGTATTGGAATTGTTTGAGGGTTT